CACTTTCCTAAACCCAAACAACAATTTTCAAAAGCAATCCAGAAAAAGGAAAGCTTCTCTGCTTCTCAAGTCCGTCGACGTACATGGTGAGCTAAAGGGACAAACTAGTGGCAAGAGGAAAGGTGTGTAGTGTTTCTTTACTAAATGGCATTGCCCCCTTTTGGCCTGGCATGTAAAATGACGATTTTTTTTTTTGTTGTTGTTTTTGCAAATCCTTCTAAATGAGGATTCTTTTACAGTATTAACCTTTTAATTTTTAGTACATCATCTTATCAACGATCTCTCAAACACTCAAAGTTTGGCTTGATCAATTTTATTCTAGTTTCTTACACTTGAATTTAAGTCACAAACCCTCTTTCATTGATTTCTTCATTTTATTTATCAGGAGTCGCCACAGCAGAATGAACCCCTAACTATTCCGGCATATGTTACACAGCGGATGCCCTTCCAGCCACAACCCAGTACTGGAAAACACCCATACAAACTAACATTCACACACACACACACACACACATACTAATATGGACAATTTAGATTATCCAATTCACAATCCAACCAGAGTACCTAAAGAAAACACCCGCTTCGAATTATATCAATTGATTGAATGGGCATTATCAGTGGTTATCACCTGATAGATATTAGCCAGTAGGGGCCTTCTGCGCCTACAGGTAGACTCAGAAGGCTGTTTACCCATCCAGATGGGTGAACTATACTAATAGAAAAGACTCCAGATCCAGATCTGTTTTTACATTACTGTGATGGTTGGGTTGAGGGTTGGGTAGGGGTAGACGTTAATAAAATACAATTAATGGGAAATTTAATAAATAATATCAATAACTCTTGTTAACTTCTGGCCACAGCCAAATGTGATTTATGGCATGTAAATGGATGATAACAGCCTTCTGAGCCTACCAGTAGGCACAGAAGGCCTCTACTGGCCTATATCTATCAGCTGATAACCACTGATAACCCCCATTCAATTGACTGATAACATTCGAATTGAACATGGGAAGGACATGCAAACTCTGGTCCAGCCGGGACTCAAACCAGCAACCTTCTTGCTGTGAGGTGACAGTCTCAAACCCTTTTAGACTTTTGTACATTTCTTTGCAAACAGCAGACTGCCTTCTGATAGCATACCCTCTACAATCAATAAGCAAAAGTGTTAACTCCAGCTTTATGTTGATCCAAATGTACACTGTTAAATCTCCCTCTAAGTCTACTAGTTTTGCTGAACAAGGTCAGAAAACTATCAGTCATCACCTTCGACCTGACTCAAAACTGAATTAACTTGAGCTCCTGTTTGTGCAAAGAACCAAGATTAGTGTTGGGATGCCCTCATAGTGTTCAGAGGGTCCTAATGCGCCACTGAATCTCTACGGGACATGCCAAATGTGATTAAGTGCGTGGAGTTTTAATTAATCTGGCCCTAGTTGAGCCATTTCTGTCAAACAATTGTAATTGGCATTAAAGCTTTTGGAGTGTCGCTTAGGCTGAGCGCTTACACATATTTGGCAGCGAGGGTGCAGTAATTACTGCTGAGTTCCTGGGATCCCTGTGGTAAGTGAGCATTACTTTTCCCAAAGCTCCGTTCACTGTTCCTATGGCGCAGGCAGCAGTGTGCATGCATGAATGCGGTGGGATAATTAGCCTTTGATGCTGCAGGCTCCTTGGGGATGGATGTCTTTTATCACTCTCTGTGATTGTGAGCATCTCTTAAAGGACACACGTTCACAAATAATTCTGACATATTTTTCGAATGTGTATTCAGTGAGCGTTTGCATTAATACATAGCCTGCGACCGAGCTGTGCTAGCTCATATTAAGCAATGTACGTTATTGTATGTTTTTTTTTTACTACAATGACCAGAATATGGGGGTTTTCTTCAGGTTTACTCATAGAGGGGGTTCTCTCATAAGTGAGCAGGGATTACTGAATGTTTTTTTAGTGGAGATGGGGAAGACTGTCATTCAGTTCGACTCCTATATGATGTACCAGACTGCTTTCAGTGAACATTGCCTGTAATGCACAAGATTGATTTCTCCAAGTGGAGAACAAAAACACAAAATAACAGTATTTAACTAGTATTTAATTTAACTAGCTACTTAAAAAGAGTTTATTCAAAAAAAGCAATTCTGTAACAATTTACAAGAGAAGATATTTTGAAGAAAGTTGAAAAACTCTAACCATTGACTTCCATAGTATTTGTTTTACCTACTGTGAAAGTCAGTTTTTTCCAGCTTTCTTCAGCTTTCTTTTTTTGTGTTCAAACAAGAAAAGAAACTCATTAAGGTTTGGAACCACTTGAGGGCGAGTAAATGGTGAGGAAATGTTTCTTTTTTGGGTGAACTATCCCTTTAAAGGTAACATGAATGACCTTAAAATGAATAATTTTATTCGATGTTTGACATAATCTCAGGAAACATTAAGACCGGGTAGGACACAAAGCTTCTCCCCTTTTAAAAAAAAAAAACAATTGTGTTTCATTTTAATCACAGCTCTACCAGTGAGAGTGGTTGAGGTCAAGCGCATCAAATGAAAAGTGTCTTATAGGGGGCGGGACATGTCAGATACTAGAGAACATTTGATTGGCCATAATAATAATAATAATTCCTTACATTTATATAGTGCTTCTCTGGGCACTCAAATCGCTTTACACAATGGGGGGTGGGGGGGTGGTATCTCCTCAGCCACCACCAGTGTGCAGCATTCACCTGTATAATGCGACGGCAGCCATTTTTGTGTCAAAGAGACAGAGTGATGAAGCCAATTATAAAATGGGGAGGATTAGGAGCCATGATGGACAGAGGCCAGTGGGCAGATTTCAAAAGGATGATAGGGTTAAACCCCTACTCTTTTTCGAAGGACATCCTGGGATTTTTAACGACCACAGAGAGGCGGAACCTCGGTTTAACATCTCATCTGAAAGACGGCACTCACTGAGCAGTATAGAGTCCCCATCATTATACAGGGGCATTAGGACCCACACAGACTGCAGGTTGAGCGCCCACTGCTGGCCTCACTAACACCACTTCCGGCAGCAACCTAGCTTTCCCATGTGGTCTCCTATCTAGGTACTGACCTGGCGCAGCCCTGCTTAGCTTCAGAGGGCAACCATGTGAGAGTTGCAGAGAGCTAGCTGCCGGCACAACATGTTTGATGAGAACATGCCAATGTCCAAACTTGGTCCTGGAGGGCTGGTGTCCTGCATAGTTTATCTTCAGCACACCTGCCTGGAAGTTTCTAGTGTACCTAGAAAGAGATTGATTAGCAGGTATATATATATACTTAATTTTGTGTTCTTAATGTAATGAAGTATTGTTAAAAGAAAAATGTTTCCACAAAAATATGATTCATAAACTGTTTTTAGAACTAATAAAAAGAGTATTTCTTCATGTTACATTATAGATTTAATTATGTTAATTATTTTTAACCATTTGAGCAGTACGGTCCCACATGTAGGATTAATATTTCTGTGCACCTGAGAGTGCCGTCTTACATGTGGGATTTGCAATGTACAGATCTTAGAATGTAAACAAAGTTTTTTTGATGTTAATTGCCACATTACAGCCAGAATTTTGAACCATATTTCCAATTGGAAAAATTAAGCTTGGTACATGGAAACTAAAACAGAATACTAAAATTCTAAAACGATTGTTGCTAGAAGGGACACAGCTGCCAGATTTTCATGAGAATTATTTGTACTAGTTATTAAATTATTCATTTGATCAGTTTTTATTAACGTCTACCCCTACTCCAACCCTAAACCCAACCATCAAAGCAATTTTTAAAAAGTAATTATACCAAGTATTATTCTTATTATTTATTAAATTACCCATTAAATTGTATTTTATTAGCATCCACCCCCCAACCAAACTCATCCCTCAAAGTAAAAACATTAAATATTGTTGTAGTTTCATAAAAATTAGCCTATGCTATATTAATGTAAGTATCCGCAGCTGTATGCCATCTAGATTTACCTCTAGAAGTCTTACATCTACACTTCTAAAACTACTTCAAAGAGACGGTTGGGATATTTTTTACACCTAACAATGATACACAGTGTCTCAGTGGTTAGCACTGTCGCCTCAAAGCAGTAAGGTTGCTGGTTCAAGTCCCGATTGGGCCAGTTGGCATATCTGTGTGGAGTTTGCATGTTCTCCCCATGTTCGCATGGGTTTCCGCCAGGTGCTCCGGGCATGGGTTTCCACCAGGTGTTTCCCCCACAGTCTAAAAACTGCAGTATAAGTGAACTGAATAAACTAAATTGGTTGTAGTGTATGAGTGTGTGTGTGAATGAGTACGTATTGGTGTTTTCAGTACTGGGTTGTGGCTGGAATGGAATCCGCTGCATAAAACATATGCCGGAATACTTGGCGGTTCATTCTGCTGTGGCGACCCCTGATATAGAGACTAAGCCAAAGGAAAAGGAATGAATGAATGAATGAATGAATGAATGAATGAATGAATGAATGAAGTACAAACATAGTAATAAGTCTTATTTTTGTTTACGGATGTGATGTTTTAGCCATACTAATATGACATTATGGCATTTCCCGGCAAATTGTATACCTGACAGTGAATATAAATCCTTTATAACCCCTGCAAATCGGGGTACGTAAAGAAAGTTTTAATCCCTCTCTTTTGACTACTGTATATTTGCTCAATAATTTATTTTTGTAATTTTTAACAAGAAAATTGGCATACTGCCGTTTTAAACCACGCTGTTCATGCATGGCACATATAATATCCCCAAATATTTACACATTAGTCACAATATACATTAAGTTTAATAGCCGACTGCCATCCTGGTCCATCGGCATGTTTCAGTGAAAGCTCAGCATCTCCAGCATCTTTTCCAGCACGTGCACGCGCGCTGAGCCGTGAAACAGTGAAGCTGGATCTGCTGCGCCACCCGCATGAGCGCCACAGGACTGCAGGCACTCGGCGCATTTAAAAACCCCCTGCAAAGCACTGGGGGAGTTACAGTGCGAATTGGACTCTGACTGAGTAAAAGTTCGTCCGGGATTTTCTTGTGGACAGTATACGATAAGATGGCAAACAAAGGACAGCAGCCTCCTTACCTTCACTTGGCGGAGCTGACCGCATCCCAGTTCCTGGACATCTGGAAACATTTTGATGCAGACGGTGAGTGGAGACGCGCCGCTTATTCCACGGAATGCCGCTCTGGAAAAAATACTCATTAAATTATAAATGTTCTCATTTTAAAAAGCAGATAAAGTGTTATGCAACAGTTTTTAAAGAAGAAAGGTCGACTGTTTTGAAATGTTAGCTTAAGAACTGAAGAATTTTAAAGTTTTTCGTCCGAATATAATGGATCAAATAAGGAAAGTAAGAAAAATATTTGGCAATGTGAATTATTCATTTCAAAATAATAATATATTTAAAAAGTCATGTTACATATAAAAGCTACACATCTTTTATATAATTTTTTTTATATTTACATATATTTTACCAAATATTTGCAACACTATGCAAATAAAAGTATGTATTCATTATTCTTATTCATTATTAAGTTAATTTATATTATGTGAACTGTAAAAACGGGTGAAATGCTCTTCACACAAAGGCAAAATTGTTCTTTTAAGAACAGTGCACTGAAAGATTCTTTGGGGAACCAGAAATAGTTTTTCTATTGGATCTGTGCGAAAACACCCTATACCCTTATTTTAAAGAGCGTTTTCGTCATTTTTACTGCTGGATATTCATATTTACAGGCTACAATTGACACAAATCGGGAATTGCCATTGTGCTTTTATCTAAAAAGTTATTAAGAAAGGCGACGACAAAGTACATATGTTTAAAATAGTTTGATTGATCCTTTTATTCTTGAATAATAAGCCTATTGCGCAGCCAGTAACTCCTAAAGGCGCTCCACATATATGTCCCATTGGAGAAATTAAATTCACTATATTATTTCTCATTCGGACTGGTGGAAAATGTTTCAAATCTAGGCTGTATTTAAAAATCTAATGAGCTGCACATTTCAACATCATCTCGTTCATCATGCGCGCGCCGGCTGGGTTTGTGAAAGCGCAGGTTCACTTTCTTCCTATTCCCAAGTGTGTATTACGCATCTTGAGCATCTGTCAGTGCGTCGCTCTGTTGGGAAGATGGGCGTGTGTTCAAGCTCCTCATAACCCAGGACATCTTCTGAGGATCATTACAGGAAACTCATCGGGTGTTGTTCCCGGAGAGTTTGCACTTTTCTTACATACTGCTGTGTCTAAAGCTGAAAATAACTCATTGACTGATTATTATTGTATTACGGACATAATCATATCCGAAGGGCAGATGTTATCTTTATTTTGCAACTTGTTCGGGTTTCCTGTTCTTTTCAAGCCTAGTGAAACACAGAGGGGATTGGGGGAATGATATCCAATGAATAGATTACTAACATGAAGAATATGCTCACTAACCTCGAATTACTTGCAATAATTACAGTTACAGGCTTATATGGAACAGAGAAAAAAATTGTAAGGAAATCAAAACAAATGGCTGGGTTCGTAGCAGATCTTAAATTCAGTCTTACTTTCTTGCTTTACATTTCAGGATAATAAATCTTATCTCAAAATTCATTCTCAAAATTCAATGTTTATTCAATAATTACACAATCCAGCATCAAAGCCCACTCGCCTTACCCCTGGTAGTAATTGCTAGGTAAATGCATTAATTCTACCTTTGAGCAGCAATAAATGTCTGTATGCAGTCACTAAAATGCCACTTCAGAATAACTTTTGAGCCATATTTAAGATGCTCAAAATCCAAAGTCACATTTACCTCAAGAGGAAAGCATGGCCAAATCTGCTATTCTGCTACTTATGCAATATTTAAAGAAATGCATAGTTGAAAATGGCTTCATTAGACACTTTCACATCTTTAAGACAGTTGTAATCAGTGCAATTAAATCAATTTCAAGAGACACACATCTAAAGTGCAAAAAATACTGGCAAAACTTTAATCTGTCAAGTTTATGAGGGATGGATTATGTAGATAACAAGCAACCGGTTACAAAAATATTTAGCAAAGAAATTGTCTGAATTTGAAAATTTTCAGTAAAAAAACCAGCAGTTTTCAGACTGTATATTTTATTCTACACATCTAAAGGTTCAATGAATTTTGTTGTCATTCTCCAAAATGGCTTCCCCAAAACTTTAGTTCTATAAGATGGCTGATATAAACTGGTAAACATCAGGTGTGCTAGAAGAATGACAATAGGCAAAGCCAAATGGTGTAGAATTTAAATATGGTCATCAGAAATGAACAGTCATTATATAACTAAAGTGCACATCATAGAAGCACGCTGGAAGCAACAATCTGTCCACACTGACATTTCCAAAGACCATGAGTTCAAGGCGTATGCAAAAAAATGAATGAAATGCAAACAGAATAATTGGACTTATGATCTCCTAAAATGTCAAAGTGATCATATCGACACCAGATGGCAATATAGTCAATTCCAACATACTCAGCAGGATTAATGCATGTGCCAACAGTAATTATTATGTATAGCACCTAACAAATAGGTAGATTAATTATTCTAAAGAGATCTCTGGCTACAGTCGATGTATGCAGTGTCTGTCAAACCAATTGATCAATTGCAAAACCATTAGTAAGAGTGTCTGTCTACTCTTAGTATTTTCTAAGCCATGAAATGATGATTTTTTATATTTATTTTAAATAACAGAGAGAGGGATTCCCATGAGTCAGCATGTGTCCAGCTGTCCACAAATGTCACTATAGTCCACAGGCAAATTAATTACCAATTGTAGTAAAGACTAACATTTCAAACATGATGCCTTTGGGACAAACACAAATCATAGGACAAAACTCATGAACTTCACATAAATTACAATCACTGCTGTGAAGTTTAAGGCCATATGCACAAAATCCCATTTCAAACACATGCACGCACATTTCTTTGACAAGAATGGCCAATTTCCTGGAATGGGAAATTCCCCCCAGATGGCAATATTGCATTTATTTGTGGAGGCAATTTAAAATTTCAGCAGAATTCTCTGAAGCATCAAGAACAATCTCTTTTCCCGTCTTTTCAAATAAATGGCTTTAAAAGGCTCACACTGTACGGCTCCCAATTAGAGGGGGGAAATGTAAAAGAGTGAGTCTTCAAAGCTTAACTGGGAGACTAGCCATCAAAAGTTTTTAATTAAGAACTGTGTTACTTGGATTTGGGTGCCAGCCACAAACCAATCTTGAGTTAACCAGCTTCAAAGCAGCCATCTAATAGCAATCTAATTGAGAGACAGTTGTATATAATGACAAACATCATTACGGACTAAGACATCTCGGGAAATAATGAACTATACTATTGCAGGAAATGGCTATATTAAATGTAAGGAGCATGACAATTTCTTTAGTCGGTTTATTTAAAAATGAAAATGTATAATTTTTTTTGTTACCCTCAGGCCATTCAAAATGCAGGTGACATTGTATTTTAAAGAACTTTCAAGGTGGAATAGGTCATTTTCTTCAGAAAGTATTTTTATTATGCCGGTTTAAAGCCTTCACATCCATGAAATAAGGATTACAGGGGACCTATTATGCTAAAATCACTTTTTAAGGGGTATAGTGTGGCATCAGTGTGTGAATATAGCCATCCTCTAATGGTTAAAATTAATTAATTGTATTTTTATAATCACACTTGATAAAAACAGACTGCAGAAACATGTATCATCAGAGGGGAAAAGCCCCACCCATTTTGTGACAGCCCTAAGGGAGAAGCAGCCGTCTGTCATTAATACTGACATCACAATACTGAACCATTCTTTCTTCTATTGCAGGAAATGGCTACATCGAGGGTAAGGAGCTTGACAACTTCTTTAGTCAGCTGGAGATTGCGAGGAGAGGAGCTGGTGTGGTGAGTGAACAAGCCAGTGAGAAAGCATTTGCATCTCATTAGAAAGCACTGTATTGTCTAAACTCTGCTGCGGAATTCCCAAAGCAATGACTAATCCAAGAAAAACCAGCTCTGTTTTATTCATTGTGCTCAAACTGTGTGATGATTTGTTTAAACATTTGAAGTCATAAATATTCACCCTTCGTTGAATTTTCTTTTCTTTTTAAATATTTCTTAAATTATGTTTAACAGAGGAAGGAAATTTTCACAGTATGTCTGATAATATTTTTTTCTTCTACAAAAAGTCTTATTTGTTTTATTTCGACTAGAATAAAAGCAGTTTTTAATTTTTTAGATCCATTTTAAGGTCAAAATTGTCAGCCCCTTTAAGCTATATTTTGTTTAATAATCTACAGAATAAGGCCTAATTACCCCAACCTGTCTAGTTAACCTAATAAACCTAGTTAAGCCTTTAAATGTCACTTTAAGCTGTGTAGAAGTGTCTTGAAAAACATCTAGTCAAATATTATTTACTGTCATCATGGCAAAGGTAAAATAAATCAGTTATTAGAAATGAGTTATTAAGACTATTATGTTTAGAAATGTGTTGAATAAATCTTCTCCCTGTTAAACAGATATTGGGGAAAAAATAAACAGGTGTGCGAATAATTCAGGGGGTTTAATAATTTTGACTTCAACTGTATATGCTGAAAATACATTTTAAACGAGTTTACTAGTTGAACATAATTAACATTGAAACATTGAAAGTCAATAGGAGCTCCTTTGAACACAATTGACTAAATAAGTATAGATCAAAAAGGATTCAGATTTCAAATAATATGATTAAACATGGTTTAATCCACTTTTGCATCAGCTATTGCTGTAAGATATTTATAAAAATTAAAGCTGTGGTATATCCAGCCTGATCTCACGAGAAAACGTAAGTATTTTACATTTCACCAGTCTAGTGGCTAATTCATACGAATTCATACGAGTTCAGTTGTACGAAAATGTACGATTTTAAAAAGGAGGCGTGGCACCTAACCCCACCCCTAACCACAACCGTCATTGGGTGATGAGCAAATCGTACTAAACAGTACAAATTAGATCATATGAATTCATACGAATTAGCCACTAAATCAAAAAGCTACGAATTGCCGTGAGATTGTGTTGGTATATCTATCATTGGATTTGGGGTTGGGTCTATACAGGGCCTATTTTGAAGATGGGGATGGGTTTGAATCAATGTTTTAAAAAATAAGAAACACATTCACTTAATAAATAAATACTCTATATAATGTAAACAGAAAAGGTGCTGATTAATCTTTGGAAAAGTTCATCCAAACATGAAAATTAAAGGTTTATTTTGTCCCCCTTAGCCCATTTAAGAAGCAGTTGACATAGTATTAAGAATAACATTATATGTAGAATACATTGTTTTCTTTAGAAACTATTTTTGTTATGCTGTTTAAGGGGACCTATTATGCAAAAATCTTTTTTATAGGGGGTTTAGACAGAGTTGTGCGACATTAGTGTGTGTATGTCCAGCCTCTAATAGTAAAAATTAATCAATCCTATTTTTCATAATCACACTTGATAAAAACAGTCTGCAGCATATATATATATATATATATATATATATATATATATATATATATATATATATATATATATATATATATAAAGATGATATATATATCATGTCACCTGCTGAAGATAATGTAATTAAGAGGATCATAAATGTGGAGTTTTAGGACGCACAAATGAACACCAGAGTCTCCATAGACTGCCTTCTCTTTACATCTTGTAAAAAGAGGCATAATAGGTCCCCTTTAAAAACTAAAAGGTCCAAATGTATTTACATGTTCTCGTGGAAGGTGTATGACCAAAAAAGTTTGTCCAATCAAAACGTTTGGTCCAAACATTACAACAGGCTATCCTACCTGCCTGTCAATATATGTATATGCATACCTCTGTGCACCCTGCTCATGCAGAAGTATGTGATCGGCACATTCACAGTTCCTACGGTTCAGGCTTTTGCTGTGCAATTAATTAGAATTGAATTGCAATTGTGAAAGTGAAATATTATTTAACTTCCCGTTTCCAGAGCAAATGCGTGACTGCCATCTGTGTGTGATAGTCATACTAGCCAGTAAAGTGAGCACACTTTCGTTCTGCCCAATCAGAACTGAACTATGCAGATCGCCCACAATAAAAAACAAATAGGAAATCGAGAACAAGCAGGATGATGGCATCTGCCGCTTCAGAAGTTAATAGACTAATTAATATCATAGAATAACAGCCTGTCAGTAATATGGGTATATTTTGGTTTCAAAGTCACAGACACCAAACAAAACCAGGTCATTTGTAAAAGCTGTCGCAGAATTGTTGACAACTCGATCTAGTAGAAAGCAACAGCAATGTACAATTTCAGAGTTGTTTGCTAAAATAAGTTAATACTTTTAAGTTCCTTTTTTAGCTAACACTGCATTTTTATCAGTATGAAGCTACTACAGATTATTGAGCTGAAGCTTGACTACAAAATTAAATCGCAAATCAAAACGAAATTGCAATATCTGTCAAGAAAATCGCAATTAGATATTTTCGCCAAAATGCAAAGCTCTAGCTTAGACAAAGAATGGCAAACATCAACATCCTAACTTATTTTTAAGTTTTGTACAGTAATAACTGTACTAAAGTTTTCTCTATGGTGAATGTTACATAATGTATTGTAGTGATGTTGTCTAGTGTGTGTTTATTCGTTTAGGAGGAGTGGCTTTGGATGGTGATTTGCAGGGTAATGCTTATGTTAAATTAATGTTAGCTAATGTTAGCTTTTTCCAAGATCTCTTATTGCATAATATAGCTGAAACCGTGGTCTTAATGATTCATAAAATGTAAGTAAATTGCTACCAGGACATTGAGAGTCAAAAAAAAACAAATATACAGGCAAAACACATTCATACCTGTGGTTCCTGATGATATATTGAAGTCTTAAGAAGCTAAACAATCGTTGAAACAAAATAAACTATAGCTGCGTCCTAAATGGCACACTATGCACTTATGCACTATGTACTTATGCACTTACACACTAAACAGCACAGTTTATGTATGTAGTGTTGTCCCAAATGGAGCACTAATGATTTTTTTACTAAGCGGAAATTCAAACTGTTTCCCTGATGACGTTTGTTGATTCCCAAATTAGTACAAAAAAATGACCAAAGTACCAAATATTACCTGTTATGAGTATAACCTCATTCACCAGCGGGAGGCGCTATAATCACTCTCGTAGGAGAATTTTGCTTTCACAATCCAAAATAAATAAAGTTATCCAACATGAGCGCCCAAAAGCTCCGCCTCTTCTGCTATTTGAGCAAAGCTGTGGTTGTTGAGTGCGTGAAGTGTCCGACATTCCACACTTCATTTTACCGGCTGAATGAGAGTATCATCAGGCTATTTAAAGTGCACTTATTCTTTTTAGAGTTTTCAGTGTGAACGCACTACTTACACTATTTGTACTACAAAATGGCATACAATAGTGCATAAGTATGCGATTTGGGATGCACCATATGATTCTTGGAATGTCTGACCATGAATAAATTACAAGCAAATTTTTTTTTTGTGAATATCCCTTTAAGAGAGGTCCCTTTTCTTACAAAATGGTCAAATAAGTTATACTCTAAATATGTTGTTAAACATTTAATTTTAAATTTAAATTTAAATACAGAAACAGTGTCATGTTGTGTATTTCCTAACAATAGTACCCATTACCCATCAATATACGGTTTTATTTAAATGCAATGTGTGGACTATTTTTCTCTTTCCAATTGACAAATTTTACACCTATTCATTTGACAGAGGATTTGAAAAACAACAATTTAACATTGCATGTATTTTCCCAGGATCCAGATTGTTCAGTTACTATAAGGAAATGCTCTTCCAACAGAACTACACTAATTCCAAATCATTATGTAGATGAAGGGGCCAATGCATTGTCTTGCTTATATTTAAAAAAAAAAAAAAAAAGATTTTCTGAAAATGAAAATTCTGTCATCATTTACTCATCCTCCACTTGTTCCAAAATGTGTTTGAGTTTCTTTTTTCTGTTGAACACAAAGTAAGATATTTTGAAGATTGTTGCAAACCAGTTGTCATAGACTTCCATAGCATATATATTTTTTCTTACAATGGATGTGAGTGGCTACCAGTTTCCAACATTCTTCAAAATATCTTCTTTTGTATTCAACAGATGAACAAAAAACTCATAAATGTTTCAAACCACTTGATGGTGAGTAAACGATGGTGGAATTTTTATTTTAGGGTGAACTATCCCGTTAAGGGCACTATTTTAGTAAATGCTCCTGTGGTTCGTATGTTATAAACTGTATGCTGGAGGAGAGGTTGCCCTTTGCAATGAAAGACATCAAAATACATGAAAAATACCTGTCAATTCCATCATCTTAACAACACAATGGGCTCCACTTCTAAAGACGTTTCTTAGAGTGTACCATGTGCAAATGAAATATATAAAGACCCCAGATGACTAGGCAGATGGCACACCGAAAAGATAGAAAAGGAGATTTTTATCTTTATCCCTCTGTGTTCAGCAATAAAACGGGGGAGGCTCACAAATTGTCTCATAAAGTTAGTAATGCTTTTATCTGCCTTACAAGTGGCAATGAATACGGCACAGGGCAATGCACAATGCACATTACTCATAAAGTGATAGCTTTATCCTAACCTGAGAGGCACAAACTGAATAAAGCTTTTCCAATAAGCCAGGGATGGGGAGAAAATTCATCTTGTTGTGCTTTCTCCACGCAGGATCCCTCAAATGCAGCCTTTAAGGGGAGAATGACAGAGTTCATGCAGAAATTCGACAAGAACAAAGATGGAAGAATTGAGATGTCAGAGGTATAGAGGAACAATCATTTAACACATCACCGTGACTCTGTTGTTGACAAGTTCACAAATATTCCATCTTCTTTCCGGAGAAGAGAAAACTCATCCCTTTAATCAAACCTGTGACTTATTGAGAGATCTGTCCGATAAGCTTCAGGTCTCAAATTGGAACAGTAGAGCTTTTCAATTCTTTTTTTCGCATGGGTGTCTAATCCACTCATCTATACTTTCCATCAGCTGGCTCAGATCCTGCCCACAGAAGAGAACTTTCTCCTCTGCTTCAGACAGTTTGTGGGATCCAGCACCGAATTCATGGCTGTAAGTGACAATGCTATTTTTTCATTTGATAAATAGAAAGAAGGGCTGGCCAATTTCTCATTCCGTTATATATATATATATATATATATATATATATATATATATATATATATATATATATATATATATATATATATATATATATATATATACACAATTTCTGTCAGTTCAATCAATTAATAGTCTATATTTTGACCAAATATAAAGGAGTAGTTCTTTAATTTATACTCAGAAGTGTATTTAGTCATATGTAATCCTATTTCTCACTTTATTTTTTAGAACTTCAGGGCAAATGTTTGATAAAAAATGTAAAAAAAAAAAAAAAAAAAAGAAATATGAATAAAATATAAAACATGTTTTAAAAACTAATGATTACAGGTTTTAAAAAAAACTTTAAAAAATGCAAGATGTAAACATTGCACTTTCAAGATTGCAACTTTCTCGCAATGTTGTTATTCATGTTTCTGTTTGCATCTCCATAATGGTGTGTAATACTGTGCTCTTAAATAATTTTTTAAGTATTACTATCAACAGTTTACTTTGTACTATGTGTTTTATATACAGTGGAAATCAGAATTATTAAACTTCTTTTAATTTTTTTTCTTTTTTAAATGTTTTCCAAATTATGTTTAACAGAGCAAAGAAATGTTCACAGTATGTCTGAGGATATTTTTTCTTCTGGAGAAAGTCTCATTTGTTTTAATTTGGCTAGAATAAAAGCATTGTTTTAATTTTTAAAATACATTTTAAGGTCAAAATTATTAAACCTTTAAGCTATATTTTTTTCGATAGTCTAAAGAACAAAATTTAAATGTCACAAAGTTTAAATGTCACTTTAAATGAAGTGTCTTGAAAAATATCTAGTAAAATATTATTTATTGTCATCATGGCAAAGATAAAATAAATCAGTTTTTAAAATAGACTAGAATAAAAGCAGTTTTTAATTTTCTAGATCCATTATAAGGTCAAAATTGTCAGCCCCTTTAAGCTATATTTTGTTTAATAATCTACAGAATAAGGCCTAATTACCCCAACCTGTCTAGTTAACCTAATAAACCTAGTTAAGCCTTTAAATGTCACTTTAAGCTGTATAGAAGTGTCTTGAAAAATATCTAGCCAAATATTATTTAATGTCATCATGGCAAAGATAAAATAAATCAGTTATTAGAAATGAGTTATTAAGACTATTATGATTAGAAATGTGTTGAAAAAAAATCTTCTCTCCTTTAAACAGAAATTGGGGGGAAAATAAACAGGGGGCTAATAATTCTGACTTCAACTGTATTATGTCATATTACACAGCCTTAATAGAAAGATGTCTCTTATCTCTATTTGCTCACCAACAATCATCTTCACACTGATGCTTTATAATGCACAGTCCAATATAATTTTTCAGAAAATCTGGTCATCAGGGTTATCGATCTTCATAACATTATCTAAAGCTCTCAAAATTCACATCAAACCTTTGGCTATTAAAGCTCAATTTGGTACCCTTTCAATAATCAATATTCACTTTAATATTCCCAAATATAAGACTGGTGTTATAGTTTTGGAACATTCCTGGTGCACCTGTTTTGAATGTTATCACTCAATTAATTGGGCATTATTAGTGGTTATCAGATAGATATGAGCCGATAGGAACCTTCTGTGCTGGTAGGCTCAGAAGGCTGTTATCATCTATCCACATAGTTAATCAGCTATACTATAAGAAAACTCCAGATCCAGATCTGTTTTTACACTACTGTGAGGGTTAGGATTATTGTTGGAGTATGGGTAGACATTTAAAAAAAACAATTAATGGGAAGTTTAATAAATAATATAAATAATTCTTGGTAACTTCCAGCCGCAGCCGTATGTGATCTATAGCCAATTAATCATGTAGATGGATGATAACAGCCTTCTGAGGTTACTAGTAGACGCAGAAGGCCCCTACTGGCCCATATCTATCAGCTGATAACCACTGATAACGCCCATTCAATCGAATGATAACATTTAAATCGGCTCCTGGCGAGACGTTTAGTTGTATTAAATTGGAAAATTGCCTATACCCCTACATAATCTTTGTGGATTAAAGACATTTTAAATTTTAGAAAAATCAGACACACAATTACAGAAACTTCTGGCAACTTTATAAAACTTGCGGTCCTCATCGTAGATTATTTAAAACGTGAAATGTTTCAAAAAATCTGAATATATTATACTCCTTCAAATATATTTCCTATATATTGCATATATGTGCATTTGTACATATGTACATTTATTTATCTGTATTAGTTTGGATGACTGTGTTGTGTGTTTTGCATTGTTTGGGGCAGGAGATGGGAATTTGTAGGTGTGTGTGTGTTTTTTTTTTCTACTTCTTTTTAACTAGTGTTGATGTATATTTTGTTTAGAGTATGTGCATATATAGTTGATGTCAAAATTGTTAGCCCTCCTGTATTTATTTATTTATTTTTTTTTTTTTTTAAATTTGCTAAATTATGCTTAACTGAGCAGGGATTTTTTTTTCTTCTGAAGAAAGTCCTATTTGTTTAATTTTGCCTAGAATAAAAGCTATTTTTTTAAAAATTATTGTCATTATTATTAGCCCCCTTAAGCAACAAATTTATTTTTCAATTGGCTACAGAACAAACCATTGTTATACAATGATTTGCCTAATTGCCTAACCTAATTAAGCCTTTAAATTGCACTTTAAGATGAATACTAGTATCTTAAAAAATATCTAGTAAAATATTATGTACTGTCATTATGGCAAATATAAAAGAAATCAGTTCTTATGTCTAGAAATGTGTTGAAAAAAATCTCTGTTAAACAGAAATTGGGGGGAAAATACAAAAGAATTCAAATATAATATGAAGACTAATAATTCTGACTTCAACTGTACATCACTCATTTTATCATTCTTCAGTTTTTCTGTAATTGTAATTGTGAATCCTGCTGAGTTAAAGAAAATGAAAATAAAGTGTAGGGGGATGGGGAGAAAAAGAAAATCTGGTCATCGGAAATTGACTGCTTCAATGATGTATTATGTCAAGTAGAGGTAAGGAGAAAGGGAAGCTTTTTAATCATCCAGTGGGGTAGGCAAGCCTTTTAAAGGGATAGAATGAATAAGTACAAACTTCTATTTTCAGACTCATGTATTATAGATGCGGCTGTAATTCTCTGTAGACCTGTAGAGGGAGGCATCTATCTTTGATAAGAGCCTGTGATGGAAACAAGGCCAGCTGCTAGATTAAAACATTCATTAAATGGCATTTCTTGCTCCTTGTTTTCACAATGAACAGCTGCTTCGAAGAGAAAATACAGACGGGTATGATGAAAAAGCAGGAGTAATTAATGGAAGAGTGATTTGCCAATTATTTCCTCTCCTCCACATTTATATGTATTCCAATTCCTCTGGTTTGTGATATGCTGTCTGTGTATGTATTTTTATGCATCACTGATTGTACAGTAACAATATTGTTCATATTTTTGTGTGTATCAATAGGCCTGGCGGAAATACGATACAGACCGCAGCGGTTTCATTGAGGCTAATGAACTTAAGGTGAGATTTTGAATACTTTTGCTGCTGTGGCCTTCACAACAACCCCTGAAAAGAGTTTCCGAAGCCACTAATGTGATGAGGTAGATGGAAACTATGCAAATCTCTCTGGATTTGGTGGCTGGCATCCGAAGAGAGTATACAAATCACTACATTTGTAAACAAAGCAAATGAAGCAATGAAACTGACTGAGGAGACGATGACCTCAAAAAGAGTCAAGCAGATGGCACTTGAATAGATAATGCGCTCATTAAGTGAAAATGCTTAAGGGGGTTCACTAACCAGAAATGCACATAATTTGTAGGATAGCAGTGGCAAGTGACTTATTAATGGGATAATAAAATACACATGCATTTCTTCCAACTTTAACGTGTAAAATGTTGTCATTTAGAGCTTTTTTGCAAAAAAAAATAAAAAATCTAAAATAATCTCATTTTATTAGCTTTTAGAGAATACAATACCACCAACTTCATAAGAGAGTATTTTTCTGACCAATTGGCATTTTCTCAGAAAAATTTGTTTTAAATTATTATATTTTCTAGTCAAAATTGGGAAAAAATTATATCAGACCTTTATAAAATTAAACAATTATTAACATTTTACAAGGTTAGACATTTTATTGTATTTTTTGGGTAACTTACTGTTGCCAGCAATTTACTGCAACTGTCCATTTACAGTAACTTACCTGTAACTGTGTTTAAAAGTAGCATTGCCCTACCGCCACTTAATTTTACAGTAAAATAGCCTCACCGCAACTAATTTTATGGTCAAATGCCCTTTTCTACATTTTAACTTTACAGTATGACCAATTTTACAGTACTATTACACTTTTACATTTTACACTAGTAAAACAGTTAATGCACTCATTGAGTGAAAAAGCTTAAGGGGGTTCACTAACCAGAAATGCACAAGGTTTGTAGAATAGTAGTAGCAAGTGACTTATTAACGGGATAATAAAATACACATGCATTTCTTCCAAATTTAACATGTAAAATGTTGTCATTTAGAGCTTTTTTTGCATAAAATAACAAAAATAATCTCATGTTTCATTAGTTTTTAGGGAATACAATACCATCAATTTCATAAGAGAGTATTTATTCTGACCAATTGGCATTTTCTCAGGAAAATATTTTTAAAATATTTTTAAATAAAAATATTTTTTAGTCAAAATTGGGGAAAAATCATATCAGACATTTATAAAATAAAACAATTATTAACATTTTACACTGTTAGACATTTGTTAATATTACTGTTGCCAGCAAGTTACTGCAACTGCACCTTAACAGTAGCACAGCCCTACCACAACTTCATTTTGCAGTAAAATATACTTACTGCAACTTCTATTATGGTAAAATGCCCTTAATTTTAGAGTTTGACCAATTTACAGTACTTTAACACTTTTACATTTTACACTAGCAGTACAAAACCTTTTATGACTCATTGTTATTATATCCATATTAAAGGTAATTTTCATTCATCAATCTATTTTTAATACATTTTGTGATACAGGGTGTTAACTGATATTTTTTTATTAAAGTAGCAGTACTTGATTACTTTGACCACAGTAAAATACTTTAAATACCTAATATGCAATAAGTCACTGTAAAAGTTTTACAATTACTCACAATGTAGTGCATATTACAGTAGTGAGTACTGTATGTGGCATTTTACTGGCCATTTTTTTAATAAATAACTGTAAAATTGTGGCAAAGTCTACATGCACTCAGACCCTTACCTATAATAAATACAGTTAGTGCAGAGAAACAGAATTCTGAAGTCAGCTTCTTTTAACACATTTTTAAACTCTAAATCAGTTATTTAATCTAATTTAAATGGTATAAATGTAGCTATATAAAATAATCTGAATATTTTTCCAACAGGGCTTCCTCTCTGACCTGCTTAAAAAGGCAAACAGACATTACGACGACCAGAAATTGCAGGAATATACACAAACAATAGTAAGTGTTTGACTTTTGAGTTTTACCTTAAGGTCCTTGAGCCGTTTGCCACCATGCTTGAGTGCGTAGTTCTTGCTCTGACCCCACGGGTTGTGTCTGCTCTCCAGCTGTGCTAACATATGTGCACTCCTTAAGGCCAAAGACATAATCTTGAATTATTCCAAGGCAAGCCAGTTGGATAATTGAGAGTCTTCGTTGTCCTCTGCAAAGAAATAAATCACGAAATATTGTGCAGCAAAAGAGAATACTGATTTAATAAAGCATTGTTTAAAATTCAAGACCTCCTATTTAAAACTGAATTGTTTTTTTTTCCTTTATAGCTTAAAATGTTTGATCTGAATGGTGATGGGAAACTGGGTCTGTCTGAAATGGCAAGGTGAGAGATGTTCTGAAAGAGTTACAAATCACATTGTAACACCAAACAAACCAATTATTTGTAATTATCAATGTTACTATTCATTTATTTTTTGCTTATTTTTAAGGCTTCTGCCAGTTCAGGAGAACTTCTTGTTGAAGTTTCAGGTGAGAACATTTTTGTATATTGAAGGCCAGATTTACTAAACTGGGCAAATTCCAAGATTTTAAGGAATATGGATTGTTTTATTTATATGGTTAGATAGTTCAGATATCAGTATTCTAGTGGGTGTGACGATGGCAAATGATTTAAAAACACATTCAGAAATGTGTCCTTGTAATTAAATGTTAAAAAGCAATTGCACACACACACAGACACACATATATATATATATATATATATATATATATATATATATATATATATATATATATATGTATATGTGTGTGTGTGTGTGTGTGTGTATGTATGTGTGTATGTATGTATGTATGTATGTATGTATGTATGTATGTATGTATGTATGTATGTATATATATATATATATATATATATATATGTATATATATATTAGTTCTGCAGTCTAAACCAATAAAATGTGCAAAATCTAATAAGGTTTCTGTGACATCTAGAGATGTTTATTTATTTGATGACAGAGATGTTTATTTGATGCTTGTGTTTAAATCTGAATGATGGCGTATTTTAATGGTTCTTTAAGTTGTTTATTATTTAAAATGTACATAAAAGAGACATTTTAAAGGACAGACAGTTTAAAATACACCTTGCAGGCATATGTGTGCAATGGTTGAATACCACTCAAATTAAGTATTTTCGATACAGTTGAAGTTAGAATTATTAAACCCCCCTGAAATATTAGCCCCCCTGTTTATTTATTTCCCCAATTTCTGTTTAACGAAGAGAAGATTTATTTTACACATTTCTAAACATAATAGTTTTAATAACTCATTTTTAATAACTGATTTAATTTATCTTTGCCTTGATGGCAGTAAATAATATTTGACTAGATTTTTTTAAGACACTTCTATACAGCTTAAAGTGACATTTAAAGGCTTAACTAGGTTAATTAGGTTAACTAGGCAGGTTGGGGTAATTAGGCAAGTTATTGTATAGCGCTGGTTTGTTGTGTAGACTATCAAAAATATACATAACTTAAAGGGGATAATAATTAATATGTATTTTTAAAAATGTAAAACTGCTTTTATTCTAGCCAAAATAAAACCAATAGGACTTTCTTTGAAAGAAAAAATATTATCAGACATACTGTAAAAATTTCCTTGATCTGTTAAACATCATTTAGGAAATATTTTAAAAAGAAAAAAGTTTTCAAAGGGTTTTAATAATTCTGATTTCAACTGTATATACTGGATTTAATGTGCATTAAAGACTTTTAATCACAATATAATATGATATAATAATTTTCAACTGAAATGGAATATTGACTAGGGGGTGGGGTTTTCTTACTCTTATCTTTCACTCGCAGCAAATTATTGGTCGGGGGGCCATGGCAAAACATATTTCACTTAATCCAGAAAACTGAGATCATCAGAAAAGAACTGACATGAAGCTAATGGTTACATTTTGATTAAAGATTACCAAAACAAAATTATTAATGCGGACTAGCTTTCATGAATTTTTGCTCACCTTAAGACTTACAATATGTGCAACCAAAACAAACATTGTTCATTTTGATTTCATGCTGACTTTGAGTTCACTGCAGTGTAGTGTTCTTTAGATCTGCTTTATTAAGCCACTAAATAACAGTGAACATTTTGGTAAATAATGATTTAAATGATTTAAATGGGCCATATATTAAACAATGCAGAATCCCTTATTATTAGTGAACTGCAGCCTGCTTGCATAACATTCAGCATACTAAAAAAGATGTGTTTTATTGGTCAACAGGGAGTCAGGCTGTCTGCTGAGCAGTTCAACGCCATCTTTACATACTACGATAAGGTAATGTATGATCCAGCATCATTTGACAGGCTTCAGTAAACTGTATAGATTTGTATGCACTGCTGTGCATGTGTTGTTGGAAATCTGATCTTCCCTTCCATCATAAGCACCTTCTGAATGCAAAACAGTATCCCCATTCACCTGCACAGGTAAATGAGCAGAATCACCTGCACCTGTTTTTCTGCCCACATCTTTCAGCCTGATGGATCATCATTTGGGAAGGGATTTAAAATGCAAAATCAGAAGCATATTTACAACAGTTTAAGTGCCAGCCATAATTACAGAAATCCCAGTGAAAATTGCTGCGAGATGAAAATTGCTATTTAACGCTCTTCAACCACAAGTTCATCATTAGTCTTTCTCCAGTTATCTTACACAGACTAGGCTTCTACCCTTTATGAAGGAATGACTATCTTAAGCTTGTTCTATATATCCGTCCCAATGTAAACCCTATATCTGTTTAAAAAAAGAGACAACAGCACCCACTCTTGTGTGTTCAGGCTAAACTGAAGGCTTGCTGTCTACATTAACACAATGCATTAGTATGTGCGTCTATAATTTGTGTAGAATTTGTCTCTGTATCTCAGTTGCCTCCCAGCAGTCACAATGCCTTACTTTTGTCTTGAAAAAACATATGCCAGACACATGCCAGGCTGAGCACTAATATGGCTCATTGTCATAATTAAATAATTTGATGACTGAAAAAAAAACAGGCCTATCAGTTTACAGGATTTTAGTAATTTAAGTTGGTAAATATTTAACAAATTTAAACAATTAGCCCATATGGTTCTATTCATATGACGCACTTGAATCAGCTGTGAATAATTTCCAAGTAACAAAAGTTGATTTCCTGTTTAGTTAACTAACAACTCCGATCCACATTACTTTCTTCTGTGGGACGCAAAACTGAGTTTCCTGATTGCTTTTTCTTGATATACTGGAACAATGAATGGGGATTTGAAGCATCAAAAAATATGTTGTATGTGGGGTTTTGTTATTGGAATAATGCTAGGGGTCAGAAGAAATTTTGGAGAAAATCATTATTGATATAAAGATACATATTTTTAAAAATTAACAAAAAAAAAATATTAATAAAAATGATCAAATATTAGTATAAAACAAACAAATAAACAAAAACATAGAATATTAAAAGAAGGTTAATAAAAATATTCTATTTAAACATTCTAATAAGTATACAACATTTAAATTGATAGTATTAATTCTACACAATTCTAAAATAAATGATACAAAATAATAATATTAATAATTTGATTAAGATTTTACACATAAACTAAAATTCAGTTAAATTCAATCAACATTTGTTCAAAACAAACAAACAAACAATAAAAATGTTTAATACGTGCACTAATGTTTATAAATTAAAAACAAACAAAAAATACTTAATAAAATGACTTTTTTAGAATATTTATATGGATTTTTTACAATATTAGTTCGATCTTTAAACAAGACATTATTTAGATCTGGTTACAATTATATATATTAAGTAATTAAATTATTTATCCGCTGCAAAAGTAAAGTAAGGGATTAATTTCCATTTTTAGGTAATTTGATTACAGTTACATATAATGTATCTGCCTTAAATACTATAGATATATTCAACAGATTTGTGTAAATCAATTCAGAGAAGCAGAGTAATTCAACAACAACTATTCAAGAACATTACACACGCTTAAACAATAAATGACATAAAGGTGTAAAATATGGTGATATTACTTTGAAATGGTTTGTGTTTTGATACATATTTAGTTTAATTTTTCTAAAGGACAAAATTTTAAGAGTTTTTATTTCTATTTCATAAAGATTTATAGAGATTTTTAGTAGCATTGTGTCGAGTAATTCAAATGACTTATTGAGTAATTTGATTACTTTTCAAGATGAGATAATTAGAAAAGTAATTTAAATACCACGTTAATGATGTAATCAGTAATTAATTCCTTTTTTGAAGTATCTTAGCCAATAATGATATTTATTCATTAATCGCCACAGCGGAATGAACCACCGAACACAGATGCTTTTAAACATGTGTCCCTCACATCATATTTGCCTCTTAAAAGATTGAAAACCGGGGTGACTCGGTGGCGCAGTAGGTAGTGTTGTCGCCTCACAGCAAGAAGGACGCTGGTTCGAGCATTGGCTGGGTCAGTTGCCGTTTCTGTGTGGAGTTTGCATGTTCTCCCCGTGTTCGCGTGGGTTTCCTCCGTGTGCTCCGGTTTCCCCCACAATTTACATTTTTGGGTGAACTATCCCTTTAATGATTTTTTATTATTACTATTTTATGTGTTCACGTGCCTCAAGAAGATATAAACGCTTTTAATAAACTATAACAAATTAAATTTTATCAGTTTCTCTTATGTTCTTTTAAGGATGGAAACGGCTACATTGACGAGCAAGAGTTGGACGCTCTCCTGAAGGACCTCTATGAGAAGAATAACAAGGTGAGAAAGAAAAAGTAGCGTCAGAATAATAACAGTATCTCACATTTCCAGACAACAAATCCAATCTCATTGTATTGCCACTTTATTTGACCTCAGGAGGTGGACTCCAAGAGCCTGACCGGTTACAAGCAAAGCATCATGGCCCTGTCGGATGGAGGCAAACTGTACCGCTCAGAGCTGGAGATCGTTCTCTGCCGGGACCCCATGCTGTGAACCTCTAGCTCAGCTCTGTCCCAGCTGCCTGAATACTGTAACCGTGTGCATGTGCCGGGCACCCCGTCCCCATCCCGTCCCCACCCCGTCCCCGTCCTGAAGTGAGTTCTGGATGAGTGTGCGCAGAAAAGCACAAATCTGTCTGTTCTTTCCCTGCCCAAAACCCAATCACCACTGCTTTCCTCTGCCTACAAACTACAGCTACTATGATGCCCTCTGCTCAATTTTTAAACTATATATTTAAAAAAAATAAAGAGTCTTTCTGAAAGAGTAGCAGACTAATAATGGTGTAATACAATTAGATATGTGAAATATATTTATTTGGAGTGCTTGGCTTCTGGTTTCTTCCCTATCGTTTTGTTTCCTCCTCAGTTGGTTTTTGTCTTCATTTCGTTTCATTTCAGCCCAGTTGCGTTGAGGTTTGTTGTGTTTTTGTTTGGCTGATACTGTTTAAGGATGTAACTGAGACTATTCATTAAAGTTATGTGATATAAAGACGCTGTTTCATATGTTTGGTTCATTCTAGGGAATAATTCATTCTTATTCTTTTTTTTATGCTAATCTAAATATTTGAGGATGTATGTCAGATCTCATCTGTGCAGCATGTTCTTCTGTGACATGCTGGATGGAGACATCACATTTCTAGTAAAAATGCTTTCCTAATTGTGTTCTGATGCATTTAAACCTTGGTAAATAATTAATCTGCAAGACTTTCCTCTTACATAGCAGAGTTTGTAGGAATTCCTATCAATTAATCATCATCAGAACATGAATAATTCATCCAAAAAGCAGTTTTGAGTTTGCAAACGGGGGTTTTCTACATGGCTTGCATTGCTACTGTGTTGAATGATGACTGCATAAAATACATATACAGTTAAAGTCGGAAATATAAGCCCCGCTGTTTATTTCCCCAATTCATGTTTAACGGAAAGAAGATTTTTTTTCAACACATTTCTAAACATAATAGTTTTAATAACTCATTTCGAATAACTGAGTTATTTTAGCTTTGCCATAATGACAAAATATGATATTTTGCTAGCTATTTTTCAAGACACTTCTAAACAGCTTAAATTAATAATAATAATAATAATAATAATACCTTTTATTTTTAGGCGCCTTTCAAAGCACTCAAGGACACCTTACAGCAGATTACAAGCACATCATAAAAATGCAAGCAGTAAAAATGACAATCAGCATAATTAAACCAGCAAATCATTAAAAGCTATCCTAAACAAAAACGTCTTTATCTGAGATTTAAAATTGGAAATAGAGTCCATCTGGCGAATGTGCAAAGGCAGGGAATTCCATAACTTCGGTGCTGTACAACTAAAAGCCCTGCCTCCAAATGACCTCATCTTAAAGTGTGGGACAGATAACAGTTCAGCAGAAGATGATCTCAGTGAGCGTGAAGGAGTGTACAAATGAAGAAGATCAGAAAGATAGTGAGGGGCCAGGTTATGAAGAGCTTTGTATGTTAAGAGGAGGATTTTGTATTGTATACGATAGTGAACAGGAAGCCAGTGCAAGTGAAAGAGAATTGGAGTTATGTGATCAGAAGTACGCGAGCAGGTGACTATCCTAGCCGCTGAATTCTGAATCAACTGTAGTTTATGAATTTGTTTATCAGGAATACCAGAGAGAAGCGAGTTACAGTAATCAATCCGTGATGTAACCAAAGCATGAACAAGCACTTCAGTACTTTGTTGAGATAGTGAAGGGCGAAGTCTTGCAATGTTACGCAAATGAAAAAAGGCAGAACGTGAGATATTACTAATTTGAGAACTAAATGAGAGCATGCCATCCAGTATAACCCCAAGACTTTTCACTTGGGTTGAGAAATTGACTGGGGAGTTATCAACAAACAGGGTAAAAGATTGAGCTTTGGATAAAACAGATTTTGAGCCAACCAAAAGGGCTTCGGTTTTACTGGCATTTAACTTTAAGAAATTATTAGTCATCCATGTATTAATCTCATTTAGACATTTGGTAAGGTCAGAAGGGGGGTGCGATGTTGTAGGTTTTGTGGAGATATAAACTTGTGTATCGTCTGCATAAAAATGAAAATGTATGCCAAAAGAACGAAATATATGACCTAAAGGTAGGATATAAATAATAAATAAAAGTGGCCCCAATACTGACCCTTGAGGAACACCATGAAGGACTGAAACAGGATCGGAGCGTCTATTCTTTATCTGCACAAACTGTTTTCTGTCACTTAAATAGGAAGAGAACCAGCAAAGTGCGTTGTCAGCTATTCCTATAGAAGCTAGTCGTTCCAATAATAGTGAATGACTAATAGTATCGAAAGCCGCAGTAATATCTAAAAGAATAAGTATGGACAGGTAACCAGAATCAGCAGCTAAAAGAAGATCATTTACAACCTTAGTGAGGGCTGTTTCTGTGCTGTGTTTAGGGCGAAACCCAGATTGAAAGTGCTCATAGATGTTATTAGTAAGCAGATGTGAGTGAAGTTGAGCTGCTACTGTTCTTTCCAGTATTTTTGAAACAAACAGAAGGTTGGCAATTGGCCTAAAATTGTTTAGGTCATTAGTATCAGCCCCAGTCTTTTTGAGTATTGGAGTGATAGAGGCCATTTTTAAAGATGAAGGAACAGTAGCAGTTGATAGTGAAGAACACACTATAGATGTAATAAAAGAGGATAGTGAATTAATGCAAGACTGAACTAAAACAGTAGGTAGGGGATCAAGTGAGCAGGTAGAGGTCTTAGACTTCATGATCTCCCTAGTAATAAAATCAACTGAGGGCAGTTCAAAATTAGAGAGAATACTCACTGACCCGCTAACATGGCTATAATCATACTGATAATTGGGAACAATCAAAACAGAATTTAGCAATTCATGATGAATATGATCAGTCTTAGCATGGAGAAAATTAGAGTAGGGAACACACTGAATAGGATCAAGGGAAACAGAATCATGTGGTTTCAACAATTTGGCAACAGTACTGAACAAAGTTCTTGTATTTGAGTGTCCACTGGTGATGAGATTTGAGTAGAATGTTGATTTTGCTCTTTCTATTGCAGCCTTGTAAGAAGCAAGATGCTCAGAATACATCTGCTTATGGACTTCTAGACCAGTTTTATTCCAGAGTCTCTCCAGGCGACGACCTAGAGCTTTTTGATGACGAAGTTCAGGAGTAAACCATGGAGAGGGATTGGTATAAGATACAATGCGGGTTCTTAGAGGAGCCACAGTGTCTAATATTTGAGACAGGCTATTGTTATAAAAATTTACCAAGTCAGAAGTAGAAGTGGACAGACACTGGTTTACAGAATAATCAATCATTCCTTCCAGGACATGATGGTCAATGTTCTTAATATTTCTAAATGAGACAGAGCGTGGAGGTTTAACTCTTCCCAAAGAAAGAGAAACATTAAAAAATACAGATTTATGATCTGAGATTAAGTGATCAGTTGAAGATATATTATTAGGGACAACACCAGAACAACATACTAGATCGAGAATATGCCCCTTAGAGTGTGTTGGAAAGTGGACATACTGCACAAGGTCAGCACTGTCCAGGACCAGTTTAAAATCATTATACTGAGTGTTGGCAGTGTTATCAAAATGAATATTAAAATCTCCCATCAACATAATGTCCGGAGATAAAGTACACACATGTGTTAAAATAGCAGAAAGTTCATTAAAAAAGATATTCAAAGCAGATACCTTTGGTGGTCTATAGACTATAACTAGAACAGTTGGAGTCGGACCTTTAAGTAGTACAGCCAACACTTCAAAAGATGTAGGCTCTGCTATCTGTAACGGACAGATCTTAAAACAGTCACGGTAAATTAGTGCAAGACCTCCCCCTTTACCGGTACAGCGAGGTTTACATAAATACTTATATCCGGAAGGTACAGTTTGATTAAAAATAAAAAAGTCATTGGGCTTCTGCCAAGTCTCAGAAAGACACATAAAATCTATACTTTTGTCCTCAATGAGTTCATGAATGTAGGATGTTTTATTGCTGAGAGATCGAACATTAAAAAGCATAAAACGAACAGTAGACATATAATCTGACCTGGGCAGCGATGAAAGCACGTCATGGTTAACACCCCTCCTGGCGAATCTAGGCAGTCTTGTATTAGACCAAAACGACCGAATTATACCATTCCTATCATGATTGGTGGTTGAAGAAACATTCCGACGAGATCCTCGATGTATGTATTTCGGTCTCGGTCGGCGGGTAAGGTCCGGGTGGTTGTGAAGTAATAACGGAGGTTGCGAAGTTGCCGGTCTAAGTTTGTAAAGGTCCCCCGCCGAATACATCAGAGGAGCGGCACTGATCACAGCAGAGCAAAAGATAATCCATAGAAGCAGCCTAAACAGCCACATGTTGAGATCCTGTAATTTAGTTAGGACGAGCCCACGGAGCCAGAAAAGTTATCAGTGAGTCCGTCAGCAAACGTCCACGTCAATCATCCAGTGCGCAAAGTGTCAAACAGCAGCCACACCGCTTTCGGGTGAGAATTCGGGTTAGGTTTCAGATGGTTTCAGACGAAATAGTATCAGATGAAGTAAATTCCAAATTAAAATATTCAGATAAAACTTTCAGATAAAAGTATTTAAAAGTGATCACGGTGAGCAGCGGCAGCCAAAACGCGCCTGCGTTCACTCAACCGGAAGTCAAGACTATGGACATACTTGCACCCAATTAAAAGCTTAAATAGGTTAATTAGATTAACTAGGAAGGTTAGGGTAATTAGGCAAGTTATTACAGTATATAACGATAGTTTGTTCTGTACACTATCGGGGGTGCGGGGATGTAGCTTAAAGGGGCTAATAATATTTACCTTTAAAAGTTTTTTTTTTGTCAAAATATAACAAAAAAGACTTTCTCCAGAAGAAAAAATATTATCAGACATACTGTGAAAAATTTCCTTGCTCTGTTAAGCATCACTTGGAATATTTTTAAAAAGAAAAAAAAAAGATTCAAATAGGGCTAATAATTCTGACTTCAACTGTTTCTGTCAATCTTCTGTTAAACTTCTTTTACCAGTTTAAAACAAATATTAGATTTTTTTTTAACAACAAGAAAGTGGCATATTTATTTACATATATAGACATATTTATTTACCTTTCAAGACAACAAAATACAAGGTTTTCACTTAAGAAGTGTTAAGAAATCAATATTTGGTCATTTTGAAAAACTGAAATCAAAATCATTTTACAATTTGAGAAAGAAATGTTATCAGATCTTTATAGGATAAAACAAATATTAACATTTTGACCAAACCCATCCTCGATTCTTCTAAGATGACAAATTCTATGTTTATTTAACATACTACATATATTCTATAACATTTGTGATACTTTTGAAATATAAAAAATATATATACATTTCATAAATATATTTAAGATAGCTGTTTTAAGATTAAGAATACTGATCAATGAGGATTAAAAAATCATTGAAGTAATATTTAATGGCACAATATTAAGTGGAATGTGGATCTGGATGTATGAATTTTGTAT